TTTCGCGGAATTCGGTTCTCGGGGAGGAAGTCGTCGCGTCTCGGCGACCTCCATATCTTGCCGCAGAATAGTCGTTCGAATCGGGAGCGGTGCACTTGGACACGGTGCATTTGGACACAGCCAATCACAGTACCGTGTGATTAGAGACTTTTGTAGGGTCCCTTGGAACAGCGACTTGTGATTGGACTGTGTCCAATTGCCCCGTGTCCAAATGATATTGTTACGTCCACGATAGATAACTATATAGGGAAATTTGAAAGTAGTGAAATCAGTGACTTACGTGGACGGTCAACAAAGTGATGGCTCCGCTTTTGGGTCACTCTGCTTTTCACCGAGTTTACCCTGGGTCTCGGGAGCCTGGCGAAACGATTGATGAATCTGGCGAAAAATCAGCGGTGCTTGTTCTCCTGGCTCGGCCTCGGATGTTCCGATACCACGCGGGTTGATGCGGCCCGCGATTCAGAATTTGATTTCGCAACGTTTGAAATATGAAGGGTAGGCAAAAGTAATTGCAACACAGTCGGATTTTACGACTAAGTATAATATGCTGAATAAGTACACGAAGCTACCAGAGACTAACTATGAGAAGAAAATAATTGTCTTCTCTACAAATGCGCGCGCTTTTATATGTCGCTTTGTCGCTGAGAGTCGTTCTCCGATTGGTCCATGGAGTTATGGCGAGGGAAGAGATTCATTCCTTTGCATGATGTCACCGCGTCGGTGTCCTGAGTGGTGTTTGGGATTCAGTTTTCATGCTCCTGTTTATGTTGGCTTATCGCACTGAGCGATAGCGGTTTCTTTGAGTCGATCCGTTGATTTCGAGACTCTCCAGCAGCACGCAGCATTCGGCATTTTAATTATAATGTTTTAACGCTCGCGAATATGCATATGTGCACGTACTTACATCTAGTAACGTAGGGATAAAATATCTAGGATGTCTGAAATCAGACAAGTCGGCCTCCCGGTCTATAATAATATATTATTAATGTTCTAAAATAGATCCGGACGTTACAATATACACCCGTTCGAATCCGGGGGAAACCGTTTCGGAAGGGAGGCGGGAGAGATCGGCTCTCATCCTATCCGTTCTTTTCGCGTTGTCGCGCTCGCGAAAATCCGTGCCGCACAGATTCGTATGTACTTGACCGGAAAAAAACTCCGGTTGGAAAACTATTCTTTTAAATTGTTTGTATTTCGTATGAAGAGTTATGAAGTATCATTAAAAAGGTTTGTGAGTCATCCAGATAATTTTAATTAAATATTAAAAAATCATATATTTGGCCGAAATATCGATCTCAAGCGCTGCTGTGGAAGTACTGTCAGGCACGATCGGTGTACTATCTAATATTTTAATATTCCTGGTTCTTTTTCGGGTAATTATGTACAATAAGGCCTTTTTCGAATTTTGATGTTTTTTGCAGCTCTTGGTAAAAATATTTATTTTGACTTCAATATTGATAATCAATCGGGGGAGTCCGAAAAATATGCAAGTTATATATTGTTTTAACTTTTTTTTTCACTTGTCGAACGTTGCTGCTTTCGCACAATTTAAACAAGTTACTGATCTTTTAATTACATTATGTAACTGCAATATCGAACGACTAGCGGGGGGTTGCGTCCCCAGCACGCCCCCTCAAAACTAACCTAACCCAACTAACCTATCGTCACATTAGCCGTTAGTCATTGTTTACTAAAAAATTATTAAGAGAAAAAGTTGAACACTTTAATAAACAATGATTGACGGTTAATGTAACGATAGGTTGGGTTTACGATAGATTAGTTTTGAGGGGGCGTGCGGGGGGCA